GCTTATAAGCTTCCTGTATGCTTGCCTTTGTCTCAGGACCTACCTTGGTAGAAATCAGGCCTTGGTGGTTTCCATCCACATGGACAGCATGGATCTACATCCTCTTCCAAGTAGGAGAAATTCACAGTGTCATCCTAGTCACCACTGACAGGCAGGCTCTGCTCTACTGGCTCTTTAGAAGTCCTTGGTGCCCTAGAAGGAGAATGGGTACTTTTGTTTGATCTGCCATATTGTCTGAGACATGCAGATTCATCCCTTCATCCTCTCAGACCCAGTCACCCTCTCTTCCAGCCTGCCGCATGCTGGCCATCCTCACGATCTTTTGCAAGTTTCTCTCCAGGCTTTGTTCATTCACTTTCCATTCTTGAACCTGGGTAATGTGCTAGAAAATGGAATTCTTGAACCCAGAGTTTCGGAGGCTGAAATTCCAAACAGCATGGATGAGTGCTGGTGTGGATCTCCACAAGCTGCACCACAGCATGGCCAATGGCCAGAGAGCGTGTGTAAGAAGGGGAGATCACAGGAGGAGACAGGAAGGTGGAGACCAACAGGGAGCCTGGAGTGCCCTTGTACAGCAGATTGTTGCCTTAGCAACTAACTCCCTGGGGTTCTTTAGTCAGTGTATTAATCCCTCCCTCACCCAGTAAGCCGCATCTCACCAGGACCTATCTCTTATAGGTTAAAGTGCAGGGTAGGAGCAGAGCCCAAGGTGCAGGTTGGAACCTCAACTCACCCATCTACACAATAGCTTTAGGATCCCTGTTTTATATCACAGAAAATAATTACAGAAGCGGCCAGTGGGAGTTGTTAGAACGGCTTACTGGGCAGAATGGAAAATGTATAGACTCAGGAAGAATGCAGGGTGGGCTCCCAGTGGAGATGCACTGTGGCCTGGGACTGGGTATATTTTTTTGGCGGGGAGAGAAAACTATGAAATTTATGAATCATAGAAAGTACAGGATCAATCTGTTGAAAGGAGATGCCCCTCTAGAAAGTGGAAGCAGTTTCCAGGAGAAAGGCATAAGCCCATACTTTTCAAAGCTTTGTAATTCAGGTTTGAGTGCGTTTCTGAGGAATTTATTCTAATAATCATAAACTGGTTATTTTATGAGCTGCTTCCACTCCCTCAGTTTTCATTTTTCTCCTTCATTAGTCAACAGAATTTATTTTGTCTACAAACAAATTGTTTCTTCCATTATCATGTATTCTTCTAGTTTCTATTGCTTATAATTTCATGGTATGAATTTTATATTATGAGTTCCTTGGGCTCAATCTTTGAGATTAAAAACACTTTTTACCCCCTAAGAAGACCTCACACTCATTGATTTTCTTTTCCTTTCTTTCTTTTTTTTGTATTGTCCTTGTTTTGGGATTTAAAATTATGCCTCATTTGTCAGAGAAAGAGCCATAGGAGTTAGAAAGCATGACTGGTGCCACAGCAGGAGTTTGAATTTTAAAATTTTCTTCTTTTCTCATTGGTTTTTGTTTACACAGTTCTATTTTCAGAAGAGATAACAAATATGGTCCCCTGCTTCAGTTTGTCCCAAATAAACTCTTTGAGACTCGAGTTCAACTGGATACAGAGCAGACAAATACTTTGCCCTTATACCTGGACTGAAGGAGAAAAGCTGGCGTGTGTGGTGTTACTGTGCTGGGCGTAGAGCTTCAGAGTGCCAAGGTAGCCTCAGGTGCGACCAGAAAGAACTGCTCAGAGGCCGCAGGAAGCCTTCATTGTACCTCCCAGGAATATGACAAGGGAAAAAGTTTGCCTTTCCCAGTCTCAAACACGTTTTAAAAATATACAGCGGTCTCTCCCTTATCGCAGAGGTTGCGTTCCAGACCTCCCCGCGATAAGTGAAAATCAGCAAAGCAACAACATTATATTCATCTTAATATTTGTACGTCTCTTAAGGCTTTATAAACCCTTCCCACACTCTTATAAACTTTCCCCACACTTTTAAAAACACTTCTATGGGGCCTTTCTGGTCAAGTGGTCCACTTGTCTGTCCTGACACTGTCTCACTGTCTGCTCGCTGTAGGTTATACTAAGGGCTGGTAGTTTATACCATCCAACTGTGCTCTACTTCAACATTGTTTGTTTATTTGTCTTTTGTGTTTCCACATAAATTTTAAGACAGGGTCTCTCTGTACTGCAAGCTGGCCTTGAACTTGTGACCTTCCTGCCTCAGGTTCCCAAGTGCCAGGACTTCAGACATGCACCATAACACCTTCCACATAAATTTTAAAATCATTTTGTCAGTTTCTAACAATTCTGAACAGGAATTTTTATTGGAATAGTACTGAACCTATAGTTGAGTTTGGGAGAATTGACATTTTAATAATATTGAATTTTCTAGCCCATGAATTTCTTACCATTCATTTACATTTTCATTAATTTCTCTTACTTTCTTCAGCAAAAGTACACAGATCTTATACATCTTCAGTTAAATTAAGCTTTAACCACTCCATACTTCTATGCTATTGTTAGTGATATTGTTTTGAAAATTTTTTCTTATTCTTTGTTGTTAGTATACAGAAATGCAATTTTTTAATTGACCTTGTACCTCCTGTTACCCTAGTACATTTTTTGCAGAATTTCTTAGGAGTTTTATATAGGTATTCAGGTTATGTTCAAAGAAAAAGCCTGACTTCTTCCCTTCCAGTGTGTATACCTTTCTTTCTCGTCATTTCCCTCTAGTTAGGCAATCCAGTCCAGTGCTGAGTACAGACAGTAAGAACAGAGGTCCTGGGTCTGTGCCCAACACACAGGGCGAGGCATTTGATCTCTCTCACGATAGATGATGTTCTCTGTAGGTTTTTCACAAATACTCTGTCAAGATTAAGTTACATATTCTATTTCAAATTTCCTGAAGGTTTTTTATCATGAATGTAGAATTTTGTAACTTTTCTTGTTCCTATTGATATTAATAAATTTGTTATTCTTTGTGGTGCTCAGGTGTGAACCTAGGGTTGTGCACGTGCTAGAGAAACACTACCATGGAGCTACACACCCACCCTAGACTCACTTTTCATAAATGTTAAACCTGTAGTCCCAGCATTCCTTGGATAAATTATACTTTTAGTAATGATGTTTTGTTTTATGTATATAATGTACATACATATGCATATATTGTTTGCATTTTTTAAAGATTAAAGATTTTGAGCTGGACCTTGGTGGTACATGTCTGTAATCCCAGAAGTCTGGGAGACTGAGGCAGGTTTATAAACCCAAGCCCAGCCTGAGCAATTTAATGAGACCCTGTCTCGAAATTTTAAAACAAGGTAGGCTAGGAATATAACTCAGGGAAGAACACCCTGGGTTCACACCTCAGTAACACACACACACACACACACACACACACACACACACACACAGAGTTTATATTTATAATCATGAAGGACATTGATCTATGTATTTTTTTTTCTTAAGATAGGATCTCAAATAAAATGTTACAAGTTCTGAATAGAAAACCCACTACCCCACTACTTATGGATTATTGGACTGTATTGGGATATTTCGCTGAATTTATGCACCTACAGTATTTAAATGATAATGGGTTACCCTTCTCTGACAAAACTAACCAAAAAAGGGGGCTACAAATGAACGATCATTTCGTATCTGTATACTTCAAATAGTTAGGATAGATATACAGCTCCATTCTCTTAATTCAATTAATAGAGAGGTTTGTTCTAATAGTATCTGAGACAGGATATCAGGTCTTCATCTTGTACAATGTGTAACCACTAAGACAACAATATGCAATGTATTAATGGTTGACAATGCACTAGTAATCGGTTGTGAAACTGTCTCATTGCTATTTGTTTCTCAATAAAAAAAAATAAAAAAAAATAAAAACACTTCTAATGTTCTTAAGCATTGTCTAAACTCGCAAATCTACGTCATTTTAACAACATACCTGTACTGTATGGTACCGCAGAATCTCGCGAGATAGTGAAACAATTCACGATAATTCAGGTCAATATTTTTTTTAAAGCCTGCCAAATAGTGGCTCCACCAAAACTGAACTGCAACACAGCGGGGGACTACTGTACATGCACATACATGTGAGGCTGTGTGAGAGAATCTAGAAATATTCCCAGCCCCTCCATGACTCCAGACTCCCAGTGACCAGAACAAAACAAGTCTTAGCCAGGAAAAGCGTTTTTCTTGCTTCTGCCTGGTGGACCACGAAGTGGCTGCCTCGCAATTTAAACCCAGTCTTACTCCTTTAATCACTTACTGCTCCTTTTTTCACAAAGTAAATTGTGGAAACCCAGAGTGCACTGCTTCCATGGAAAATATGATACTTCTTTTTCTAGAGATCAAGGGCTGGCTTCCTCTTGAGGCTGGTACTCTTGGAGACACAGCAATCTAAGGGGTTTCAGGTATTGCACAGCCCTGCCCCATGCCCACAACCACACGGTACCTCTCCAGATGTGCCACACTGATTTCACAGATGCTTCCTACATTTTTTTATCTGCATCTGCTGGGCATTTGCTCCCACAGGGGCAGTCTCCTCCACCCCCACCCTGGTCACTTCCTCTTTCAGTCGCCCATCTGTGTTAAGCAGGGAGGAAGTAGCCTCATGGTGACAGACAGGAAACACCTCATGGCAGAGCGTGCTGATGACATCAATAGTCAGTTTGTGAAGAGTGGGGAAATGAATGAAGCCTTTAGCAAACTTTTCAGAGGTACAGTGCTTTTGCAAGTTATCAAATAGCTTTAGTGATGGGGGTGGTTAGAGAGTTTGCATGCCGCCTTAGTTTGAGGGTGCTATCCAGGACCCCTTCCTAGACAGTGGAAATCTCTGTGGTGTCTGACATGGCAGGCACCAGCCACCTACAGCCAGGAGTTTGAGAAATAAGATCATCATACTTCAACCTAAGCGTAAAT